TGAGTCTCTTACAACTACATCAGACCGTTTCCTTTCCTTTAAGACCCTATTTTTGGTCGCTATTTCTTCTGCTTGCAGAGCTTCTGAATTGCGGCTCTCTGAATCGACCCTCCATTCCTCCAATTCCACCCTTACAAAGTTACACTTTATCCTGATGTCTCCTTTCTATCGAAGGTTATCTCTGATTTTCACTTAAACAACCCATCATTTTATCTACCTTTTTTCCATCACCAACCAATGACTTGGAGTGGTCTCTGAACCTGTTGAATGTCAGAAGAGCCTTGGCATTCTACGTTTCTAGGACTTCTTCCTTCCACAAGTCTAAGAGACTTTTTGTCACCCCTCATTTGCCTCACAGGGGCTTTCATATCTCTTCTCAAACCACTTCTCGATGGATTGTCACAACTATGCACCTCGCATACCAGCTCGCCCAAAAGCCTCTGCCTTCAGGCATTAAGGCACATTCTACAAGAGCTGTTGCTGCTTCCACAACCTTTCTCAGAGGCGTACCTTTATCTGATATCTGCAAGGCTGCTACCTGGGCAACTCCATCTATGTTTACCACTCATTACTATCTACAGTATATGTCAGGGCAAAGATGGAAGCAGCCTTTGGCAGAGCTGTGCTGTTATCTATTCTTCCATGACATCCCTCCTCCAGTAAGTAAGCTTGTTAGTCAGCCTATAGCATACATTCACAAAGAAGAAAGAGAGGTTACTTACCTGTAACTCTGGTTCTTTGAGTGGTCATCTGTGAATTCACACTTCCCGCCCGTCCTCCCCTCTGTCCGTCATGTCTTTTTCACTTTGATACAGCGGCGGGCTGTTCTTCAGAACTGAGGCAATCACCAGGACGAGCGGACCACATGTATAAGGGGGCGTTTCTGGTGAACACGTGATAGACCTCTAGAACATTCCAGAAACCTCTGTGCAAGCGCAGACTAAACCCTATAGTGTGAATTCACAGATGACCATTCGAAGAACCAGAGTTACAGGTAAGTACTCAATTTCTTAAGAGGCTGAATTTTGTTATTAATACAATATTCTGCTGTTTAAAAAATCGGACTGCATGCCACTTTCTGTGTGCTGTCCCCAAACTGCATCTTGTTATGAGCAGAATTATGGTAAGACAGAAGTCTTCTGGTTTTTAATTTTCTGCATCATATTGATCTCCAATGATGATAGTAATTGTGTGCCATCAAATCAATTCTAACCCATGGCAACTTTTTCCGGAGTTTTGTAGGTAGATAGTACTCAGAAGTGGTTTACTATTCTCTTTGTCACAGCTGGCACATAGAGCCCTTTCTGCCGGCATGTGAGCCATAGGTCACTGGATCACTGTTCCCCTCCGCACAGCCAAACCTTAGAAGTTGGCTGCAGCTGTGGTGCTGGCGCTTTGGCAGGCAGATCCAGAGCAGCTGGCGCTGGCAATGGATCCGGAGTGGGGTCTTGAGACACCTCCGTGCTGGGATTTCCCCTTCCACCACCACTTCTGGTTCTGCCACCCACTGGTGTCCCCCCCCAAGTTTGGGCACGTGAGGCCGAAAAGGTTTACTATCATCCTTCTAGGGGCTATCTCTAGTGATAGCATGGCTAAACTTTGATCAAAATAGTGTAGACAAGCAGAACTTTGACATTTAGCAGTTGAAGGAAAAGTACTGAAAACTGTGCCTGTGACTCCCATATTGTTCACACACTGAGACACATACATTCGTGCTTATATGACCGTGCCTTATGGGCTATATTTTCTCCATGAAACATTATTGACTTCAGATATGCCAGGACTAGTTTGAATAGGCAGCCACTCTCCTTGTAAATCAAGGGAATTGGATGGACTTTGGAATTTTCACTTTGTGTAGTGTATGCATTTATACATTTATTTTTATTATTATTTATTTGATTTATTTGATTTATATCCCGCCCATCTGGTCTGGTCGACCACTCTTTATACATCTTGGGTTATTGATATTTAGGTCTGCTTTTAAATCTGGATAGGAAATTCCCAAGTCTAGAATAAAATATATTTCAAGGGATCATTATTAAAGAAGCAGTGAACAGAGTGCAATAGGTAAATTGAAATAAGAGTTGCATGTGGCAAAATACCAGTGGACAGAGCATGCAAATTTTAATACTAATTTCAAAGTTTATGCAGTGGGCCCTCTACTTACAAACGGCCCTTGTTACGAACATTTCAAGTTACAAACCAAATCTCATAGAAAACCAGAGGCCCTACTTACAAACATTCCCCGAGTCACGAACCCGATCCATAGAAACAGTGGGCCCTATTTACAAACCTGTGGTTTGAGTTACGAACAAAAAAAAAACGGTGAGGGAGGCGGGGAAAGAGCAAAATTTGAACTTTCAGTTAACCGTTGGCCAGCGAAGAGGGTGGTTGTCTGCTTCCTTGCTCTTCCCAGCATTTACAGAGTGGATAGAGAGACAGTCTTCAGACTGCCTGGTACTGCCTGATACTGGTACAGTGCTGTACGGACAGTACAGTACAGTATTCTAATATTTTTGGCTTTTAAAATTTTTTTGCATTTTTTATTTTTGACATTCTTTTTTTAAGCAGAGAGACTGCCTGTTCTGGGTGAGTACACTACAGTATGTTTTTACTTTACTGTACAGGGTTTTTTGGAGCTCATTGGTGGGGGGGTAGGCCTAGTTGGGGGGGTTCTCAGCTCTGATGGGTCTTGCTGGGTAGATTTTACAGTTTTAAAATGGCTGCATGCTTGCTGGAATCTTTCCTTGCTGTGTGTGTCTCTGGGGGTGTGTGTGTGTTCTGAATCTGTCTGGTTAAAATGTGGACCCAGAGGGCATTTTTGCAATGGAGGCATGGGTCTTGCTGGGTAGATTTTACAGTTTTAAAATGGCTGCATGCTTGCTGGAATCTTTCCTTGCTGTGTGTGTCTCTGGGGGTGTGTGTGTGTTCTGAATCTGTCTGGTTAAAATGTGGACCCAGAGGGCATTTTTGCAATGGAGGCATGGGTCTTGCTGGGTAGATTTTACAGTTTTAAAATGGCTGCATGCTTGCTGGAATCTTTCCTTGCTGTGTGTGTCTCTGGGGTCTGTTGTCTGAAAGGTGCTTGTTCCCTCGCTAATTTGCTGTCCCTTCCCCCCCCCCACCCCAAAAGGTGATTGTCTTGGCTGAAAATGTGCTTTTTAAGGTGTTCTGTTGAAAAGGTTTCTGTTCCCTCCTTCCCTCCCTCTTTTCTTTTCTTTTTTTAAAACCTAAGTCATCTTAGGTTAAAAGGGAAAAAAAGAAAAGATTCTGCCCCTAGTGGTAGGAACGGATTAACCGGCTTTGCATTATTTCCTGTGGGAACTAATGATTCTAGTTACAAACCGCTGCTCAATTTAAGAACCAGAAACAGCTGGAACGGATTAAATGGTTTTCAATGCATTCCTATGGGAAATGCTGATTCGTCTTACAAACTTTTCAACTTACAAACTTCCTTCTGGAATGGATTAAGTTTGTAAGTAGAGGGCCCACTGTATTCTGTGTTGCAGAAGGCCTTCTTATATAAATCTACTAACTGTCATGCACCGGACCCCCTTAAGGGCCGCTGGGCATTCGGCCAGAGAATTTGACCAGCACTTATCTACCACCTTTGCGCTGGGGCAAGTCCCAAGACCTCAGCAGTGCGTAGCATAAGCCCGTTGAACAGGTCTGACCTAAGAAGAACACTTTACACTTACTTACTCAGTACTTTGCAAGTACAGGGACATGGGCTTTGTGATTCCTTAGAACTCACAACAGCTCAGTTAGGTAGGACTCTTAAATGATAGCTAGTTTGTGGCCCTCTCCCTTTCTGAATTTAGCTAGACCCTGCTGTTCAAGAGACCAGTCTATTGTAAGGATTTTTATAATTAATTTTATTAGAAAAATAGAGTTTCATTGGAAATCAGTTTATATTGCATAAGCATTTGCATCGAGAAACATTCAAAGATCATTGCAGTTAAATAAGATAACTATTTCCCATTTAAAATAATTGACACTAAAAACTTAAGCTAGGGTAGGATATAGTGGGCTAGTCCCCCTCTTCTTCTTTCTCCTTTACTTACATCCTCTCTCCTTTATGGAATCAAACAACACACGAACCATCACATTCCATTAACTTCCATCAATCTCGATCAGACAGTTTCACATAACTCATCATCCATTTTCTACCCCTCTAGCTCCTCCCTTTGTCCTGGCCGTTCTGGCTGTTAACCAATTAATTTTTAGGGGTTTCTAGTGCTAGGCAGGAAACTAGACTCAAATAACTCAGAATGTTCAATATTTCATATTATCTTTTCAGAAAGAAAAACTGTATATTGCAGTTACAGTTTTTGTAAAGACAAATGGGCTGCATCCCATTCCACACAAGTAATAAAGTTGTTTCAAAAATACAATTTTCTTTGATGTCTGTAACACTTCTTGCTGCTGAAGATATAAGCAACTCCAACAAAACCTCTGTACAGATGGTTTCCTTATCGATAGGCGAATAAATTCTTCGGGTCTGTGACCAAGATCTTACTTTTAAAAATGTTTTTGCTTTAAAACTGTGACTGATGGATTATAAATGAACTCTTGCGCCTTCAGTTTCACAATGAGCTGTATATTTTACTAGACATTCTAAAGTTTGTTTTCGTTTTATTCTGTGGATTTTCAGACTTACAGAAATTATGAAATCCTCCTGATGCATGATCCACTCATAAAGTATTGGTGGTTAGATTTATATTCTTATGTTCTCTTATTAAAAAGTAACACTTTTCATTTTTTTTCCTGGTGCATTTTGCGAAAGCTCATCATTTTAGGCAACATCTAATTTTAACCTTTAACAAGTGGTCATTGTTTTTCAGAAGACAATAACTTGTTTGTGCGGCATTTTTGGTACTAATGCACCTATGTTTATTAACTTCCACATTTGCTTTTAGAAAGCTGTCATTGCCATTGTTATAAGAAGTCTGTTTTTTCTGTGACATATTTTTAAAAGTGCTTATATATTTTCTTTGTAGGCCTTCTTGCATCACCACAGTCTGCACCTGGCAATTTAGATACTGGAAAAAGTGGAGAACCTAAAAGTAGTGGAACAGGAGGAAGCAGAGAAAACAGCACTGTTGACTTCAGCAAGGTAAGACATTTATGGTGATAATGCCTATGTGAATTTCTAGGCCAGGTTTTATTCTAAGCATCTATATGTGGCAAAAAAACATTCTTGCTACCACAAGCTTGTTTGGTAGTACTCATAGTATAGTATACCAGTGGAATTGTAATCTGTGCTGGAAGAAATAATATTCTGAGCTATAAGATTATCAGTGTATATTTGTACAATAGTTCCTCACAAAGCCAAAGAAGTATCCTACAATCATTAACACTGGCTGAAATCCTGTTCATACTGTCAGCAAAAGCATAACTTTCCATCCATTCCTCCCTGGTAAACAATGTGCTGGTACTGTATTTGCCGGCATACAATATGACTTTTTGCCCTGAAAAACATGCCTCCAAGGGGGGGGGGTTGTCTTATACGGTGGGTGCACTTCCAGCAAACCCTCCCTCTCTCCCAGCGAAGTCGCTTACCTGGTAGTAAGACCGAGTAGACCGAGCCCTGTTCCTCCTTGGTAGCCTGGGAACAGCCTGACTCTAGCGCCGAACAGCTATCAGGAACCAGCAGAGAGGCGGCAGCCATTTTGAGATGCGGCCACATGGCTGCTGCCTCTCAAAATGGCTGCCGCCTCACCAAAATGGCTGGCGCCTTTCTGCTGGTTTCCGGTCCCCCCACGGTCTGCTTGTCGCCGCCGATTCTGTCCTTCTTCCAGCAAACCCTTGCTCTCTCCCAGCGAAAGGAACCAAAAGTGGCAAAACGAACTCTCCCCATGATGCAGCCAAAGCAGAATCACTTATGCGGAAGAGGAGATAGTCTTATACAGCAAGTATATAACAAACTCTACATTTGAGTGGAAATGTTGGGGGTTCGTCTTATACGCCCAATCGCCTTATAGGCCGGCAAATATGGTACTTGATTCTTGGAGATGTGTGGCAGCAGCACTTTGTTTACCAAGGAGAAATAGACAGACTTGCAGTATGAACAGTCACTGTGTCCTAAATTCTACTGATAGTTCCATCTGAACTAGACGCATATAATCAGCTGTTGAATACTGCATCAACACTTAAGTAAATCCAATTGATTCAATTCATCTAATCTAGTTGGAACTACAAACTGGATTCTGACTTCTGTTCTGGGAATAACAGAAAAGACTACTTTATCTGAGCAAATCACAAGGACTTTGCTAGAAATCAGCAGAACAGATTTGTTTTCTCTTTTCATAATGAGGAAGTCTCCTATGATTACCACTCTATATTGAGAATAGATATACAGTGGTGCCCCGCACAGTGACGATAATCCGTTCGGAAAAAATTGTCGCTATGCGGGACAAAAAATCCCATTGGAATGCATTAAAACACATTTAATGCGTTCCTATGGGGGAAAACTCACCGCTATGCGGAAATCCTCCATCCAGCTGCCATTTTCGCTGCCCGGTAAGCAAGGAAAGGGCGTGAAATAAATAACTTTACTAATAAATTACTAAACAATGAGTCAGCACTTATGTAAATATATCTATACTAGTTGAATCTAGGTCTTTGTTTATAGTATGATTTTAAAAACTCCTTTTTAGGGAGTTGAATCATCATTATTCAGATTCAACTGTCAGTTTGTGGTTCAAAAGGAGCTGCTGTGTTCTTACGTGTAATGTTGCCCTTAAATCAGTAAAAAACATTCCTGTTTTTTACAGAATTTTTCTGATAAATGACCGAGTTGCTAGTCCACAGGTTGTAGTTTCCTCTGATACTGTCAGTGGGATTGCATGCCAAGTTAGTAGGGCCAGGTTTTGTGTAGGGTATGGCATAGGACATAATATTTGGTAGCAGAATCCTAGTGGCAGTGTAATTAGGGTTCTATTCCAGCACTCACACAGGCCATTTCAGCTTATGCAGAATCCAGAGTATGGCCCTGAACTACTGCATCCTGATTTCTTAGTGCTAGGGAGGAAAATTACATACCAAGTGGGATGAAGCTTCAGAGCTGTTTGGTAATTGTAAGATGTCAACCTCACTATAGAGGGTAAACCTAATATGTGCCACTATAGTAAAATGGATGCTCAGCTGAATTTCATAATCTCATTCTTTAGTGCAGTGGTCCCCAACCCTGGGCCTCCAGATGTTCTTGGACTTCCAACTTTCAGAAATCCTGGGCAGCAGAGGTGGTGGTGAAGGCTTGTTTGAGTTATAGTCTAAGAATATCTGGAGGCCCAAGTTTGAGGACCACTGCTTTAGTGGAACAAATGTTATCTCGCAAAGGAGGTTTGTAGAAGTGCTGTCAAATATATCAATATATTTTGCTACTGGAAACATTTTATGGCATGTGCTATTCCTCCTTCCAGTGTCCTGTTTTTGAGCCTGCAGGGTTACCAGATTATATCACATTGCATTATAATTCATTTGAGTATTGTAAATGCTACTTCTAAAGTTTGTCTGTTAACTTTAATATATTACATTTATGTAACACCAAGTTGATTTACATTATAAATGTTTAATCATGGCAGATGCCACCATTCCTGCTCCTCTATCACAGTTTTTATGTTTTTACTTGGCCTATTCTTCTCTGCACCTGCCTTGTTTCCTGTTGGGCAGGAGTCTGCCTCCTGGCACTGTAGTTGTGGCACACTTGGTGTGGGACTCAAGAGGCCAGCTGTAAGTGTTCCTTTCTAGATAGCTGTGTAACCCGTGTCTTAGTTTCAGTGATCTTCGTGTATCTGTCTCTATGTGAACCAGTAGTTCATGTGCTGTATGGTATGGTGGTGTTCGTCTGCAATTATATACAGAATTTATACTGTTAATATATCAATAATGATTATATATCAATAGTTACTTTTCTACAAATAATCCTTTAAGGCTGAATTTATAAAATGGAACAACTCTGTATGCAATTGCATTGACTTTAGTGGTATTTGTAGATACTTATAATAAAAGTATTCCAATTCCAGGAAGTAACTTTAGAAAGTAGATGTGGTTGTGTATTTTAGTATGAACTATTGAACAACATGTGTGTGTATGGTACCATTAAAGTGACATCTTCTGACATAACTTTTCTCTGTAGCAACAAGTGTTCTACGTGCAACTCTCATTTACCATTAAATGTCAACTTAAAATGTGAAATATAGTTGAACAAATTATATATTTAAGACAATATTTTAATCATTCCTTTCTAAATAGGTAGATATGAACTTTATGAGGAAGATTCCCATAGGTGCAGAGGCATCAAATGTGTTGGTGGGAGAAGTGGATTTTTTAGAGAGACCAATTATTGCTTTTGTGAGGCTGTCTCCTGCTGTGCTACTCACAGGTCTTACAGAAGTTCCTGTTCCTACACGGTAAGAGAGAAATATAATAAAGCTGGAATCTAGTTTGTGCTTTATATTATTTTGCAGGTTATGACCTATAAAGCCCTCAACAGTTTAGGGCCTCAATACTTATCAGAACATCTCACCCAGAAAATAGCTACCCATTTCACATGTTCCTCCCAATCCACCGTGTTGAATATGGCCTCAAGGACTTAGGCTGAAAAGGTGACAGTGAGGACTGGGCATTCTCAGTGGTGGCCCCTACTCTGTGGAACAAGCTACCAACCGAACTGTGCCAGGCTCTGTTCCTCCTGATATTTAGGAAACTAGTAAAGACCAAAAAAACAAACCCAAAGTGTGCTGCTTATATACTTCCCCGTAGCATTTAAAGCACTCTCTGGGCGGTTTACAAGTTAATTATGCAAGCTGTACCTTACTCATTTTACCAACCTTGGAAGGATAGAAGGCTGAGTCAACCTTGAGCTAGCTACGTACCTGGGATTGAACCCCAGCTAGTGAGCACAGTTTTGGCTGCAGTACAGCTGTTTAACCACTGTACCATGAGGTTTCCAAAACTATGAACTGCCTTTAAGAACTTATTCCAAAATGTTGTTAATATTAATGTTTTAATTTAGGATTTTTATTTTTATTTATTTTTTTGTATCACCATATTAGATAGATAGATAGATAGATAGATAGATAGATAGATAGATAGATAGATAGATAGATAGATAGATAGATAGATAGATAGATAGATAGATAGATAGATAGATTTTAATTCTACACTATTAGTGAAAAATTCTTGATTCTGAGAAATATTATGACCTCTTTGGCATGTTTAGCTTCATATATTGGTTTGAAACAATATAGGCATGCATAATTCATCTTTAAAATAAGAGATAAATGGTGTATCTTGGAATTAACTCAGCTGGGTACCTTGTTCATCCAGCTCTGTAGTTATGTTTAGTCACAGCACTTAACCTGGAAAGTTATAATGTGACTTTAGTTGAATGTGCTGAAAATTAAACTGAATGCCTCCTTCAGACCTAAATTACTGAACATGGTAATTTCAGTCAGGTGTCAATGAAGTAAAATTGCTTGAGTTCATTTGTGTACCTGAGTGCTTAACATTAAAAGACAAATCTCTGACATTCTGTAGAAGTGTTGTCTTTTGAGTATGGAGGATACATAATACTAACTAAGATATTATCCTTACTTTTATCCTTTAAAAATAAGGATAATATCCTTACAATACCTTTATTGTCAGTGTGTTTTTATTGAGTCAGCTTTTTTATTATGGAAATCTGTTGCCTTTAAGGCATATATATATGTGGGTGTATCTCAGTGCCTTGTCAACTTATGTAGCTACATTATCATAGTCTGCTTTATTCTTCCACAGATTCCTTTTTCTGTTGCTGGGTCCAGCAGGTAAAGCACCTCAGTATCATGAAATTGGTCGGTCAATAGCAACTCTTATGACTGATGATGTGAGTATTAGGGAGCTAGTATCTGTTCTAACAATTCTGGGTTTTTAAAATTAAAAACCTAAGTAACATTAAAATACAACTCAACATACCTAATTAGAGGCTGATTGAAATAAGTACCCAGGTGGTACCTCAAACAATTACTATTAAATTCCTGGAACATGTTCCTGGAGGCTTTCTGTGCTTATAGTTTGCTGCTAGTCTGCTCATGCCTTGTTATTTATGAAAAATGGAGCCATTGGTGTGGCTGATAAGAAATATATTTTTCTTTTGCCTCACTTTTTTAAAAAAAAGAGTTTCTTCTCCAGGCATGTTAGATTTTCCACTCTTACTGCTTCTCTGTGTCGTGCAGTGTCATGCATGTCTACCTATTACATTAAATAGATCTTGGTCATAGGTAAGTGTATATGGGATTGCTGTTTTCCTCAACCTCAGTTTTTGATAAATGTTTGCTAACCATTAAATAATGATATCACGGACTTACACACATACATCTTATGACAAGCATATGTTTTAAATGTTTGAAAGATAACTGTCATGGTATTGATCTGTTTCAGTGTAAAATCAAATACCTAAATTAATTATTCACTTGAGCATTTAAAATAAACCAGTAATAGTTTTGCAACATCTCTTCTTATGCAATGGTGCCAAATAAATGTGTACATATGTATGTTTGTTTCCAGGTTTTCCACGATGTTGCTTATAAAGCCAAAGACCGAAATGATCTGCTGTCTGGTATAGATGAATTTTTAGATCAAGTGACTGTTCTGCCTCCAGGAGAGTGGGATCCAACTATACGAATTGAGCCACCCAAAAGTGTTCCTTCTCAAGTAAGAACTCTTGAAGTGCTAGCTGCCTTTAAAATTTGCAATAGCATACTAGGTCACAGGCTACACATACTGTTCTGTAAAATTAAAAATTCCACACCAAGGTAACAGAAAATGAAGAACTGCGCTTTTAAATTGAGGACTGAGATCTGTTACTGTTCTGTGTCTCTTATGAAGTGCTTCTTAAAAATAAGGAAACAAAAATTACATTATAGCAGCTTGTTGCAAGTACGTTTGAGTGCTCTTTCTAAAGGGAGGCAGCAACAAAAACCATCCCAAAGAAAAGGAAATGCAAGAAAGCAAAATGGCTGTCCAACGAGGCCTTACAAATAGCAGAGAAGAGAAGGGAAACAAAATGCAAGGGAGATAGGGAAAGTTACAGAAAATGGAATGCAAGGAGGGACAAGAGGGCCTTCTTAAATGAACAATGCAAAGAAATAGAGGAAAATAATAGAAAAGGAAAAAACCAGAGATCTGTTCAGGAAAATTGGAGATATTAAAGGAACATTTTGTGCAAAGATGGACATGATAAACGACAGAAGTGAGAGGGACCTAACAGAAGCAGAAGACATCAAGAAGAGGTGGCAAGAATGCACAGAGGAATTATACCAGAAAGATTTGGATATCCTGGACAACCCAGATAGTGTGGTTGCTGACCTTGAGCCAAACATCGTGGAGAGTGAAGTTAAGTGGGCCTTAGAGAGCATGGCTAACAACAAGGCCAGTGGAGGTGATGGCATTCCAGTGGAACTATTTAAAATCTTAAAAGATGACACTGTTAAGGTGCTGCATTCAATATGCCAAGCAAGTTTGGGAAACTCAACAGTGGCCATAGGATTGGAGAAGATCAGTCTACATCCCAATCCCGAAGAAGGGCAGTGCCAAAGAATGCTCCAACTACCATACAACTGCACTCATTTCACACACTAGCAAGGTTATGCTCAAAATCCTACAAGGTAGGCTTCAGCAGTATGTGGACCGAGAACTCCCAGAAGTACAAGCTGGATTTCAAAGGGGCAGAGGAACTCAAGACCAAATTGCTAACATGCACTGGATTATATAGAAAGCCCGAGAGGTCCAGAAAAACATCTACTTCTGCTTCATTGGCTATGCAAAAGCCTTTGACTGTGTGGACCACAACAAACTATGGCAAGTCCTTAAAGTAATTGGAGTGCCTAATCACCTTATCTATCTCCTGAGAAACCTATATGTGGGACAGGAAGCAACAGTTAGAACTGGATATAGAGCAACTGATTGGTTCAAAAATGGGAAAGGAGTATGACAAGGACTGTCTCTTTAACTTTGATGGACCACAAACCAGGATGAACTGCCATTTTGGCGATCGTCCATATAGCTACACGTGATACGTGATTGCCTGTAAAATGAATTCAGTGTGTCTAGAATTTTTACTAGTAGGCATCCTGTGCCAGCCTGTGCAGCCATCATTTGTGCAAGCTGCACCATCCCAAGATGCCCCCAGAAGCAAGGAATGATAAACTACTTCTGTGTACTCTGGAGAGTGTTGCTGGAAGTCAGAACTGATTTGACACCGTAGAAAAGCTGTATTTAATTGAATAAATTCTGCAGATAGTACTAATGTATAAATACTTAGTTTAGTAAGTTCCCATGCTGCAAAATAATCCCTGAGTGGAATGAGAGTTCTCTTTGGGATACTAAATTCTGATTCTTTTTAAGTTCAGAGATGTGTTAATTTGAGGTGGAGGACTGGGTAGTGTTACGAGTCAACATGAATTTGTTATGTACTGTATTGTATTCTAAAATCTTGTTTTTTCAGGAAAACTTCCTGGTATGCTCATCCTGCTACACCCTCTAGATATAAAAAAGATAGTTTGAAATGTTTGTTACTGTAGTCTTATTTTAATGCAAAACCTAATTTCTTAATGCAGGAGAAAAGGAAGATACCTAAATTTCCAAACAGAGGTGCTTCTGCTGGAGTGTCTCTTAAAGAGGAAGGTCATCATGCTGGACCTGAACTACAGAAGACTGGAAGGTGTGTGTTGCTTACTTGAATTCTAGCATTTTAAATGCTTTAGATGTTTGCAAGATACAATTTGTGAAAAAATCTACATCAGTGGTCAGAATTCTATTTGTACCATGCATCATAAATGAGAAATGGCTCAAGCGGTGTATGTGATCTTGTTGGCTGTCTATTGCATAGCCAGACATGTCCAGGCTGCAAATTGGTTGTAAACTTGGTTGTGCATCTGTGTGCATGACAGATGGACTGAAAATGTGAAGAATGTTTATGTGATTGCCCTTATTATTAATGCAATATTTTGCAATAAGATTTGTGCTATTGTGTTTAATTATCATCTTATATTGTCATTTATTTTAGACGTTTAATAGCATGGCAGTATTTTTCAGTGTATTTATGGGGAAAAATTAGTGTATAGTGATGCCTCAACTAAAACTCTTTTGAAACTGAGAAAAGTGTAAAATAAATGAAATGTCCCGTAGCTTAAAATCAGAAATTCTCTATAGTGGGCTAGATACAAAAATAATTATATAGTTGAAAAAGTACAGTGGTTTTATGCAACTTCTAATTATGGAATTTCAAGCAAGAAAAATCTTTCTAAGAACATGAAACTTAGAGAAATCTAGAAAGAATCTTAAAATGTCTCAGCAAACTTTGCTTCTTCCTAACGTCTTTAAACCATAACTACTAAAGAATATGTAACTAATCCCAAATTAATAACAAAGCTTTACTTTTATTATTAAAGAGGAAATCTATGAAAAGTGAAAACCACCCACCTACTCATTTAGACTGCTTCCCACAAAAGTCGCTTACTTTGGTATGAATACTTTTCATGAGATGAATACTTTTTAAGAGCAGCAGATTTTAAATACATTAAACTGATAGCTCAGTTTCATGCTTCTTGTACCAATTACTTTTTTGCAGATTAGTATTCTAATTGCTATGTTTATTATTTTAAATTCCTTAAGTATGGTGTTCCAATTTTATCAATTTTTTCAGCCTCTTTCTGTTTTTCTTAACTATTTGGAGAGTCCTCTCAATACTTGCAGTGACTGTATAGAAGTCCTTTTTAAAAAATTACCCAGTCCTTTCTCTGATTTAGTACAACCATTGTGTGATGCAGAATTTAATACTGGATGTGGATCCTGAGGTTTTGTGATTCTAAAATATTATTTAAGTCATGTTTTTGACCTTTAAAGTTACAAGACAGCTTGAAATCATGTGGATAGTACACAGTGAAATGTCAGAATCTAGAGAAGGGTTTGAGTAGGATTCACAAGGAGTGACAAGAGATGAGTTTGTTAATCCTGCAAATGTTCAAATATAAAAGGAATTCATGTATCTTAAATATAAAAGGAACATAGTACTAATGTTACAGAATAAATAGAATAAACTTTGAGCCCACAAGAAACAAACTGGTTACAATTTCTTGTGATCTTGTCCATATCCCCAAGGTCATTAAAAGGATAGGATAGCTAAAGCTGTGACAAGGGCAAGCTTAAATCGAATTATGTAACTTCTCTCACATTCTCAGGCCAACTGCCAAGTCCCAGTTGTTAATGACAACTGCATTCACTCCTGCCTCCCTTGCTGTGGGAATCTGTTTAAGAGAAGGAGCTTTCGTCTTGACAGATAGCTCATAAACCCAGCTGTGAAACCTGCAAAGTCACTTTGTTATGTACAATTACAAGCTGCTTTGAATTTTGTCATACCAATAGAAGTGTTGTATAAATATATTCATTAAATGTAGCGATACTCAAAATTTGTGATGGTCCATCAACTCTTGATGGCCTGAGAGAAATGTAGCCATGAACAACCTGGCTTATCATTAACCCCGGCTTACTTTAAATGTGGTATGTGCTTCAGTACATAGCCTGCTCATTCCTGCTTGGCTCCTTTTGTTAGTGTGAACAGAGAAGGAAGTAATATCTAAACAGGGAATCCTGGCTTCTTGTTATCTGATGTTGTCATATGTTGTAAACTTGCCTTTGACTTATGACAGCCTCCTGCTATTCTTTCTTCTTACACTTTCATAAGTCATTTCATGTAATTTAATAATTAATTAATCAATTTAATGCCGCCCCAAGTTGATTGTATATCCAATTTGCAGGCAATTTCTCAATGATTCGCCATGTAACCAGCCAATTAATGAACTTATTTATATATTTTTAAAACGTCCAAATAGCTTTATATAGAATGGAAGGTATACAATTAAAGTGCAGATAGTTTAGAGAGGTAAAAGTGCTCCTACGATATGTGCAAATTATGCTTTACTAATCAACCATCCAATTAATTCATTTGTTCATATATCAACTCCGAATAAATGCCTGCGTATAAAACTGACTGTACCGCAAAATGGAATCAATATGCAATGCTCAGCGTATGGCTTGGTATCTAGCAAGGCAATTAATTTGTCTACGTATATATTTATGAATCTAGAGAAGGGTTTGAGTAGGATTCACAAGGAGTGACAAGAGATGAGTTTGTTAATCCTGCAAATGTTCAAATATAAAAGGAATTCATGTATCTTAAATATAAAAGGAACATAGTACTAATGTTACAGAATAAATAGAATAAACTTTGAGCCCACAAGAAACAAACTGGTTACAATTTCTTGTGATCTTGTCCATATCCCCAAGGTCATTAAAAGGATAGGATAGCTAAAGCTGTGACAAGGGCAAGCTTAAATCGAATTATGTAACTTCTCTCACATTCTCAGGCCAACTGCCAAGTCCCAGTTGTTAATGACAACTGCATTCACTCCTGCCTCCCTTGCTGTGGGAATCTGTTTAAGAGAAGGAGCTTTCGTCTTGACAGATAGCTCATAAACCCAGCTGTGAAACCTGCAAAGTCACTTTGTTATGTACAATTACAAGCTGCTTTGAATTTTGTCATACCAATAGAAGTGTTGTATAAATATATTCATTAAATGTAGCGATACTCAAAATTTGTGATGGTCCATCAACTCTTGATGGCCTGTGAGAAATGTAGCCATGAACAACCTGGCTTATCATTAACCCCGGCTTACTTTAAATGTGGTATGTGCTTCAGTACATAGCCTGCTCATTCCTGCTTGGCTCCTTTTGTTAGTGTGAACAGAGAAGGAAGTAATATCTAAACAGGGAATCCTGGCTTCTTGTTATCTGATGTTGTCATATGTTGTAAACTTGCCTTTGACTTATGACAGCCTCCTGCTATTCTTTCTTCTTACACTTTCATAAGTCATTTCATGTAATTTCTGCTTTCTGCCAGGAAGATGGTGTCATCTGAATATCTTAAATGATTTATATTTCTTTCACTATTTTCACTTCTTTTTTCATCTGAATCTGTTTCAGCTTTCCTTATGATATGTTCTGCATACAGATTGAATTAATAGCAAGATAAAATACATCCTTGTCTGACAACTTTGGCTATGGGAAACCATTCTGTTTCTCCATATTCTTTTCGAACAGTAGTTTCTTGTCCATAATACAGGTTACACATTGAGACAATCAAGTGCTGAGGCATACCCATTTCTTTCAGAACAATCCATAACTTTTTATAATTCATACAGTCAAAGCTTTTCTGTAGTCGTGTTATTATCTCTGGAGCTTCTGGTTCATGGTCAGGAGTTTAGGAGTGCAAATCTGTTCTTCCTGTGGACTTTAAATTCATCAGAAATGCTATTTAAACTAAAATTTGGTGCTAACTTTCTTCATTCATATCAAAATGTTGCACAATTCAAAATTATAGACATGCATGAAATACAGGCAAAATAAAAGCAATTAAAATGTCAAGACACTCAAACTATTTTATATCATAAGTGGTCAGAGTTTGAGATGTGTGCAGAAACTTTGACTTTATCCAGGAGATTGGCATCCATGAAGTGGGTACCATATTTGCCAGCGTACAAGATGACTTTTTGGGCCCAAAAAACATGCGTCCAAGTGGGGGGGGGTCATCTTGTACAGCTTCGCTTCTGGTTCATGGTCAGGAGTTTAGGAGTGCAAATCTGTTCTTCCTGTGGACTTTAAATTCATCAGAAATGCTATTTAAACTAAAATTTGGTGCTAACTTTCTTCATTCATATCAAAATGTTGCACAATTCAAAATTATAGACATGCATGAAATACAGGCAAAATAAAAGCAATTAAAATGTCAAGACACTCAAACTATTTTATATCATAAGTTCCTAGAGGCACGGTCGGGGACAGTAAAATCCGCCGCCGCCTCTATGTACGCGCGAGCCGCAGGACCGCCTTGGCGCGGTGGCGAAGGAGGAGGAAAACAAAGGGGGCTCCCGGGGCTTACCAAAGTGTGGGGGGGGGCAGTAGGGATGGGTGCCTGTTGAGAAGCTGGTAGCCTAAACTTCCTCCCGGGGGCTGCCCTTTTCCCGCTTAGGGTTCCCTTCCCACGCTCTGTACTTAGCCTGCGGGAGGAGCCGATGCTTCTCCCGCTCCGGTGAAGCTGGGCTGCCGCGCTCTGCTCTCCGATCTTTTCCGCTGCTGTCGCAACAGTAATCCTGTAATGCACTGTATTCCAGTAATGAAAGTAATCCAGCAAAGAACCTCGCGATGAAAAGGCGCTGCTCGCCGGCCACGCTCTTTCCAGCTCGGTGCCTGCAAAGAAGATGGCGTTCCGGAAGGGGAAAGCCCTTTAAATACCAGGGCTTTCCCCTCCCACCCGGAAGTCGCGTTGGCCCTTCTCGCGCTATCCCGGGTGGAGGGCAAGGCCAGCCTCGCTGTTCAAGGTCGGGGACCCTCCAGCGGCTGGATCAGCCGTGCGCTTGCTTGCCCGCCACCCACCCGTTTCCCTTTTCCTCCTCCTCCTCCTGCTGCCGCCGGCTCAGCCTCTTCCACTCTTCCTCGCACTCTCGCTGCCATGCCTGAGCCACCGCCGGGCTGCCTGCTGCCCCATGCCTCTGAGCCAGCCGTGCGCTCGCTCGCTCGCTCGCCCGCCGCCCGCCCGTTTCCCCTCTTCCTCCTCCTCCTGTTGGGGGGGGTCGTCTTATACGGCCGGTCGCCTTGTGCGCCGGCAAATACGGTAGATTCATTGCTGTTTCAGCACAAAACCTCTGAAAGCTCACCATTGCCCTGGGTCTATCCAAGTGTACTCACAGTGCTTTTCCACTATTTTGGGGAGGGTCCTTCTATGTCCCCCATTTGGCATTATGATTCTTTTAGTATTCTTTTTCAGCTTCTGTCTAATTTTTTATATTAACAGCACCACAATCTACTACTGGCCTTGTTTTGGCAGGAGGAAAAAAACAATTTCTCCATCTGTTTCCAGTTACATAGTCTGTTTTGATTTCTGTATTGGCCATCTGGTGGTGTCCATGTGTACAGTTGGCTTGTTTGGATGTCTGAAGCATGTAAATAAGAGTATTGTCATTCTCCTGCTTTATTTCTGATTCAGGGGCCAAATATCCCAACAACATTTAGTTCTGCTTTGTTTCCTACTTTACATTCCAGTCACCTATGATAATCATGTCTTGTTTTGGTGTCTGAGCATTTTTGGCCTGGATATTTACATAAAAGCTTTTGGTTTCTTCTTCAGTATCTGTACTTGGAGCACAAACTTGAAAGATGGTTATGTTGATCTTCCAACAAGTCTGATTGATATAAGTGAGACCTTACATTATAGCCCCAATTGCTTCTGCTTTATCTCACTCCAGTATCAGAGCTATACCATTTCTTTTAAATTTATCATTTCCAAACTTGAACACTTTGTAGTTGTCTAACTGAAAATGTCCCATTCCTGTTCACTTTAGTCCACTTAACACCAAGTATTGCAGTGTTTAAACATTCTGTTTCTTGCTTTGTAGTTTCTAGTTTACCGTGAATCATATTTCTCTTGTTTCAATTATATATGCCATGCAGAATCAGACTTCTTTTCCCCTCTGTGCACATCAGCCAATAGATGTCCTTCTGGTTTTAATCTAGCTGCATCATAAGCAACAGCACTGTTCATAGTTGTCCATTGTTCTTCTCTAGTGTCTGATTGAGTGTCTTCTGACGTGGGAGTTTCATCTTCCAGGCCTTATCTTTTGTTTCGTTTTAGATTGTCTCATCATAGTGTTTTCTAGGTAAAATATATGCAGCAGTGGTTTAACACTGCTTCCTTCTCTGAAATATTAATAAAGATTACCTTCATATTTCTGCCATTGTGTATGAAAGATCCGCCACCATGGTCATCTTCAACTACCACTGCTGCTCAGTAGCTGCCCTTCAGGAGTTTCTTTGCCCCCATCACCATTGGAACTCTTTTGTTGATGCAACAGTCACTCCTGAAGAGGGTGGATACGTCTTAATCTGCTCCCTCCTACCAGATTAGGGAGGGCTATTAATAAGCAAAAATCATAATCCATGGGTTAGAAATTTGGCTGGCATGTTAAACAAGCCATTTCTAAACTTTCTCAACCATTTCAGAGTGGCATATTGAACCATTTTGTTGCTTGTACTAGTGGGAGGAGCTGGACAGGAATGAAGGAAATACATCATTCATGATAAGGCACAATTCTGAGGAATCCTGAGTTGCTTTTGAATTTGGCCATTGAGTTGCAAGACTGTCCATTTGTCTGAAAAATATTTATCTGAAATATTTTCAATATGTTCATGATCAGAGAGAAACCACTTTTTAGTGTATGTATCAACAATTCTAAATGAAGAGCTAAACCACAACAGAGCTTAGTGTAAAATATTTCACTCCCTCTTTGTGTCTTAATATGACATTTCAGTTATGGATTATTTTTGCAGAATATTGTCATGTTTTTTTTCAGTGTCTAGCCCATTATGCACAAGATATTTGCTAGTGTGTGTGTTTGTGTCTGTGTATATAGACACACAGAGACACACTAGCAATTTATATACATAGATATATATATAAGTTAAATATTGGCTGACTTTATTCTAGGTACTGAAAATGAATAGATGAAGTTGGTGTGTCTGCAATTTGTGTTTTCAGTAGGCGTATATAAAATAATTTGTACTAAAAAATCTCCACTGTCAGTCGTGTACTGTATATCCCATAGTTTTAAGCATTCTGGAGTCCTTTAGTGTACAGTTTGACGAGTTTCATCTCACCTATTTAGGCTTTTTGGTGGTTTGATACTTGACATCAAAAGGAAAGCACCTTTTTTCTTGAGTGACTTCAAGGATGCATTTAATCTGCAGTGCCTGGCCTCGATTCTTTTCCTATACTGTGCCTGTATGTCTCCTGTAATCACTTTTGGAGGGCTCCTTGGAGAAGCTACAGAAAACAGAATAGTGAGTACAAAGAATGGTAGTAGCCAGGCTTTTAGATTTTCAGAGGCAAGTGACTGTGTTCATTTGTCTCATTTATTTTTACCTTTATTTGAAAACCTTTAGCCACAGCATTTGATTAGTTCTGCCCCATAGTAGATGTTCCTCAAATATTAACTGTTGTGGAAAATATGGAGAACATGTATGTACGAGCAGGAGAAGATGCACAGTTAAGGTAAAAAATTAACCTGTCTTGCCGAACTGAACAGTTTCATGAATTGAGAAACAAATTGAATTGTCATTACTTTTAAAAGGCCTCAGACTATTTCTGGAAAAAAATTGGTCCACCATCTGAACATAGCCAATTTGAGTGTTGATATCTGGTTGTCTTGTGATATAGCAGACTCATGAAAATAATGTTTATTTGGAAAGAATATGTAGAATGAAGTACTTTGAGCTAAATGAAATATTGCACACACTTGGCATGTGGGAAAATCCAGATGAGTATTGTTGCTAAAGAAAAGCTGTTTTGCTATGACTTGGTGAAGAGAAGTGCTGGAGGAAGGGTGTTTAATCCTTCTGCTGTTTGCCAGTTTCCTTCTGTAATTCTTCCTAAGGCACTTTTTCTCTCCAAACACCCAACTTTTTCAGACATATGTTATACTAACTGGGGAAAGAAACATTTGGCAGATGGTGGACTTGGCTCTGCAGAAAAGTAGTAGGTAGGCAAAAGGTGAATCACACTGACCCCAGCCTTACTCCATTCCAGACTGTCCTTACAAAAGCTTTTTCCTGTTAAGAAATTGTCAGGATTTAAATGTACATGCTTGCATGCAACATATAAAGCAATGTTTGCCTTTAGAATTGGTTGAAGTCAGCATTTTGGTATATAATGAACATCTTTGAGATAATTTTTAAAAACATGTTGAATGTTTGGGGAGTAAATATCTATAACTCAAATTTATTTTCACATGTACTGAAAATTCAGTACTATTTCACAGAATAGTTCTTTATACATCCTCAATGTATTAATATTTTCCATTTCACAAGATTTTATTTAGCTTTTTAATGTTCTGAAATACTGTTATATGTTAGAGTTCTTCCTTGTCAAGAATCAACCCTCAATGGTACAAGGACAATAATTGCTGTAATGCATCCCATTCAACAACAGAGTTTGCTGAATAGATCCACAGTGTGGTCCTAATGTATATTTAAGGATGTTTCAAGCAGCTGATTCAGAATGTCTTCAAATTATGTATAAACTGAAAAGTCCATTCTTTCTTCTAGTTGTACAGGATTGTTTTTTACTTGGGTGTTGCTTGGTGTGCAACAGTGACTGTATTAAATTAGTTATTGCAAACATGTTCAAGTATAGTAACTGGCTTGCAAGGTACATGTTTGTATTCACACCACTTCCTCACATCTCCAGTGCATATCAATTCCATAGTATTCCTGCCCTTACTATCATGACTTGAAGACCCAAGGTTAATGCATCATGCATTACATGACTGTTTTTAAGCCCTCCAATTTCCTGTAAATGAATGATGTCATAGGAAATGTTCTGTAACGCGGTTAGATAACAGGGCACTGACATGGTATTGTACTGAAAAATGTATTACCAGATGGGATGGTGATTTTTTTCGCTCCATTTTTGTCTCGTGTCCATTTATTTCTTGTATATGTTAAATCATCATTGTTCTGTTGTTTCCAGCCCATTTCTGTTTCTTCATAATTGGTTTGATTAATTGCGGTTTTAATACATCACATTCAACTTGTGTGCAGATTTTTTGCACCATTCTTTCTTTATACAGTAGAGTACCCTAACCCCCTGTGACTAAAATTTGGGCACTGTATTTGCTGACTTTTCTTCCTTAGCTTGATAACTGAGGGATATATTGCTAAGTTATTGTTTGAAACTAGACTTTGTTAATAATTAATGACTAAGGAATTTGAATCTTTGCTGCTGTTTATCAATTAATGTGTTAAAGTCACAATGGTAGATGTTAATTGGATCTTCAGTGAATAACATGATTTCTTTTTCCTTCCCTCAGAGTGCAATAGAATCTTTATTTGGAGCATCATTAACTGGGATTGCCTATTCACTCTTTGCTGGGCAACCTCTCACAATATTGGGAAGCACTGGACCTGTACTAGTATTTGAAAAAATATTATTTAAATTCTGCAAGTAAGTACATATTTGCTTACAAGATCTAACTATATCATGTTTATTTGGAACAGTTCCTTCTTATTTCTAAACAAGCGAGAGTACTGGTAGATTTAGTAATGCAGTATTCCCCAATCTGGTGGCCTCCAGGTGTCTTGGGCTACAGCTGTCATTGAGATTATAGGAGCTGTAGTCCAAATCATATAGACGGCATGAGATTAGAGAAGGGGATAGTGAGGCATTTGCCATATATACAATAATGTTTACATTCATATAATGTTTAGCTACCTTGGGTTCTTTTTAAGGAGAAAGGTGGGATACAACTATTTTCAATCAATCAACCAATCCTTGACTGTTCAGAATAAAGAATTATGCTAGGGACATATGGAAGCAATGTTACCTCTAATTTCCAGCCCCCCTCCCCCCGTTCAGGGTTCCATCCTGACAAGAACCAAAGGGGCTGGAAATTATTGCTGTGGGTGCACTGAGGAGGAGGAGCCCTGTGCGAAGAGGGATGGAGTTGCATGTTTGTGCACAGCTGCACACCTTAGAGGGAACCTTACATGGAAGGCTTCTGAGACTGACACGAAACAGGTAGTGAGAGCTTTGGGGTACCAGATAAAAATGTTTCTTCTTGCTAAACATCTATGTTATGGCTAGAAGGCATAAAAGGTAGAAACATTGTGACCAGCCCTTACCTAAGCTTATCACTTCTCAAATGATCTTTCTTTAAAGGGCTTGGCTTCAGCCATTTAGCATACTAGACCAGCGATGGCGAACCTATGTCACACGTCCCACAGCTGGTAGATGGAGCCCTTTCTGCCAGCATGCAAGCCATAAGTTGCCGGAACGCTACTCCCCCCAGTCCCCCCCCCACAGCCAGACCTGAGCAGGCTGCTGCAACCGTGGTGCTGGTGCCTGGACAGGCGGCAGGTCAGGATCCAGAGTAGCGGGTGCTGGCAGCGGATCCAGAGTGGGCTCTCGAGGCACCTCTGTGCCCAGGATTCCCCCTTCCACTGCCACTTCTGGTTCCGGCCCCCCTGTTTTTTTTTCTTCTTCTTTCCCAGTTTTGGCACACGAGCCCAAAAAGCTTCGCCACCACTGTATTAGACCAACAGTTAAAGAATGAAACAAATGATATTTTCTTTCTTACAAAGTAACATAGGAAACACTAGCTTTTCTTCATTAACATCCCAAATGCCCAAACACAACCACCTCCTCCAGTTACATTCCAACTTCTCTTTTCATTCCAGCTCTCTTGCTCCTCCTCATTCAGGCTTTCCTGGATAGGCTGGCCACCTACACCCCCCCAGCCAATCACCTTGTTTCCTCTGCTGCTATTCCGATTGGCCAAGGTTCTGTCACAGACATATAAATAGTTCAAATAGTTCTAGAAATCTATAGAAAGATTCAAACAGCACAAATATGGAATTAGAGATTGCTTAAACATCAGAGGGCATTAAAGTCTCTAGAGAAAAAGCATGAGTTTGAACTAATATCAAAAGAGAGAGAGAGAAAGTAAGAGAGATAAGACCCAGGCACACATGTCAGGATGGAACTTAGTAATGGTTTCTTTATTCATGTCAGAGCACTGCACAATTTAAAATCATGAATGTATATGAAATATAGGTAAAATTAAAACAAATTGAAATATTAAGATCATTAAACTGTCTTTGACCAAAAGTAGGCTACTTCAATAGCATCTCGACAATTGTCTAGATCTTCTTTTGTACATATGTGGGCCATAAACTGCATGTACATAATAGTGGTGGCACTGACATTGTTGTCTGACTGCAACTCTCATAAGTAATGGAGGTTGGAATAATGGGAATAACAGTCAAACGACATCCTGCCCACCTGTGCCCTGCCATCTGAAAACATGTTTCTGAAAAAGCTTCCCCTACTCCTACTTTAAAAAGAAACAAGGGGACATCTAGTTGGGTTTTAATTAAAGGGGTTGTTTCTTTTTGTTGGTTTGTTTTAATTATGTGTTGTGTGGTTTTATCTTCTTATTTAAATGTTATTGCTAGCTTTTTTTAGTGTCTTTTTTGGCCCAAAGCTGGGAGTTAAGAGTTAACTAAGGAAGAAAAATAATGAGAACTGTAATCACCACTTGTCTCTCTCTTTCACACACACATCATACACACTCTTGAAGCACACAAAAGGGAGTAAAGCTGAATTGGGCTTTGCAGTGCTTCATCTTTCCTTCAGTAGAGATGAGTCTATGTTCTTTCTGCCTTGATAGGAATGCCAGATGTCTTGTTACAGTGATTACACTATATAATGCAAGTAGGAAATATTTGAATGATCCTGAATAAAATTATCATGATATAATTACAGTATAGAGGAAATAATAATAAAGGCAGAGTTAAAATTGATATTGTCAAAGGAAGAAAACTGAGATATTGTAATACTATATTTTAAATAATTTTACTGAATCTGTATTTCTTTCTTAAACAGAGACTATGGGCTTTCCTATCTCTCCCTACGAACCAGTATCGGTCTGTGGACAGCATTTTTATGCATATTATTAGTGGCAACTGATGCTAGCAGCCTTGTGTGTTACATTACTCGATTTACTGAGGAGGCTTTTGCTGCTCTCATTTGCATAATATTTATATATGAAGCACTGGAAAAGCTTTTTCATTTGGGAGAAACTTATGAATTCAATATGCACAATGACCTTGATAAACTGACACTGTATTCGTAAGTGTGGCTTTCTTAGTAAAACAGATAATAGAGAGGGTCATTGCCTCTTATAGAAATACTACAATAACTTTTTGTGTGTTCTTCCAATACAGTTATTCACAAATGTTTAATCAAAGTTGGTTAGAAAACTAAACTGTGCCAGACTCATAAACTGGTAGTCCATCTAGGCCATTGTTCCACAAATTGATACCTTCCATATGTTTTGAACTTCAGCTTCCATCAACCCTATCCTGTATAGCCTCTGATCAGAAATCATCATAGTCCCAAATATATTGAAAGCACCACATGGTAGAAAACTGGACAGATTTTCTAATCATTTCTCTTCTTGATGTCTCATTAGTCCAGTCCAGACATTGCATATGTTGGTGTCCTAAACACAAGGAATGAGACCATATTTCCACCCATTCCTTTCCTACTTCTGTTGTCCTCTAATTAAAACCTTTTAATTGGAGCTTAAAATTGCAAGGGTGCTTTTCTTGGATAGAGAAGATTGCCTCTTTCACTAAAATGCTTACTGTATTTGAAAAAACAGTGAAAGTGAGGACTGGATAGTTGAATTATTCCTACTCTTGCGTTTTGTAAATTGCCATGAGTAACATCTGCATAGGGCTATTATATACAGGAGAACTTGGTAACAATGAAACCTTTCCAAAATTTTAAGGATTATAAACATGTAATTTAACATGTTTACTGAAAGAAGGAAAAGGTCAGAATTATATTGGTCTGGTTTTGTTAGTCATATGTGTTATCCTGCAGTTCATAATTCAAACTTATATTATCTCATAACAAGATTTCATGTCATTGCTATTTATTTTTTAATTACAAAATAATAAGATGAAAGCCAAACTGAAATGCTGACATTTTGAATTTGCCAGATGTGTATGTGCTGAGCCTCCAAATCCCAAAAATGAGACTCTAGCGGCATGGGTGAAAGCCAACAAATCTGCTGATTCTATACAGTGGTCCAATCTCACCGTTAAAGTAAGTGTCTTGAAAGATAACTATATGTTGCAAAATGTCTGTAGAATGTAAGATCGCATCTAAAATATGTTGCACACAAGCCTTAAGTCCCCCCACTTGGCAGAGACTCAGACCAAAATTACCAGTTTGAAATTATAACTAGAGATTACAAATATGAAGCCCGCCAGCACAGGTGGCCAGCCTGATTGACACCCACCACCAGAACCTGCTGGACCACTTACTGTGTGGTGCATGGTGCACGTTGCTGGCATAATTTTCAGCACCCTAGTCATGGCAGTAGTGTAGCTGTCGCCCGGCCACTCTGTGGTTGAGCAGAGAGACTTGTCCTCCCGCCTCCTTGCTGGAGTGGCCAGGCAAGCAGGGAGGTGGGGCTGTGGCAGCCAGTCTACTGCCGCAATTGGAGCACTGAAGATGATCCTGGCCATGTGCACTGTGCATCATGCAGTAAGTGGTCTGGCGGGTTCTTGGAGTGAGTGTTAATCAGGCCAGCCACCTGTGCCAATGGGCTTTGTATTTTTATACGAATACGAAGCCCCCATCTCTAAATAACTCTGCTTTTGAGCCAGTCAGTTTGTTAAGCTTCACTTCCTGTCAAACAGTTGATTTACAGATCGTCATCAGTAGAATAGTAAGCAAGAGCTCTAATGATTATTAGTGTCTTGCTTCTAAAAACAAAGTAGTTTCTCCTTTTGCACAATTTGCCTTCCGACTTTAGGACAGTGAGAGTTAAATTTGATCAGGTGTTCTGCCTGTCTGGCTTAGTGGGGCTTGTAGTACATAAGACATCATGCTTAAAATAACTAGAGACTGCATTCAGTACATACATATATATTTTTCCATTACAAGAATAGTTGGTTTCCATATGGATGAAATTCCTGGAGGGAAGGGTTTGCCTGCACTTTAGACTTGCTTCATAGTTTCAAAGAGAAATGGATAATTTTGCCTAAACAAAGGGCTAAAAGCAATTCATACGCTGAAATCCTTTGCGTAGTGTAATAAATCTCACTGGAATAGACCCATTGAATCAGTGGTGATTTACAGAGTCAACTTCTCAGTAAGTTCCATTGATTCAATTGGACCTGTTTTATATGTTACATACTATGCTAAATTGATGGAATTTAAAGAGAAGTTGATTTACTGAATCTCCATTGAGTCAACAGGCCTACACTAGAGTGATTGACTATGCCAAGCAACAGGATTTTGGCCATAGAAATCTAGTGGTTTTCTATATATGTGTTTTGTTGCTTTTAATACTTGTGAATCAAAACAAATAGAGAAAGGGAAGCAATGATGTCACTACACACTTAGAGAAAAGCAAATTACAGTGGTGCCCCGCATAGCGACGATAATCTGTTCCAGAAAAAATCATCGCTATGTGGATTCGTCGCTATGCGAAACAAAAAAGCCCATAGGAATGCATTAAAACACGTTTAATGTGTTCCTATGGGCAAAGAACTCACCGTTAAACGAAAATCCTCCATACGACCACCATTTTTGCTGCCCGGTAAGCGAGGAATCGGCACGAAAACACAGCGGGCGGCCATTTTTTAAACCCAGCGGCCATTTTGGAACCGCCAATCAGCTGTTAGGAAAACATTGCTATGCGAAAATTGGTAAGCGAAACAGCTTACCGATCATCTCAAAGTGATTTTTTCCTATCTAAATCATTGCAATGCGATCGCTTTTGTGATCGCAAAAACTTAATCGCTATGCGGATTCGTCGTTAAACGGGCCACCCGTTAAGCGAGGCACCACTGTATTTCATTATCGGAATTATCTTTGAGCAGAATGTTAATCATCTGTGGTATTCTCTTAACTGCAAGTAGACAGCTCCTCCATCATAATATGCTTCTCCTAACCTTGATCTGTAATTTAAATATATGTGGAATATATACAGTGAAAATTGTGCTATATATATTTGCTCTATATATTTACAGTTAGTCTCAAATTTAAGTTCAACTTGGCTGTTTCTTGATGTTAATCTAACTGGTGTTTATGTATGTCTTAATTTACAGCAATGTAATGACTATCATGGCATATTTGTTGGATCAGCTTGTGGCCACCATGGTCCATATTATCCGGATGTTCTTTTTTGGTCTGTCATATTATTTTTCACAACATTTTTTCTTTCTTCCTTCCTCAAGCAATTCAAGACCAAACGCTATTTTCCCACTAAGGTAACTGTGATAACACTTACAGTTATTTTGGTAACTAATCACGTGTTTAAAAATATATTTAAAGGTATATTTTGATACTTTTAAAGGAGCCAAAGGAGCATCAAGCTCAGGCACATAATCTAGTTTTCTGTGTTTCAAGTAGAGTCTAGCAACAAGTACAGCACTCTTGTTTTTAAAACTACTGAATGAATAGCCTTGGTTTCTTGCATTTTTCCTTGCAAGAAAAGTAGTAGTGAAACTTAAATGCTCATTAGCAAATCCACTTATGAACAGAAGTCTGTAAATATGTCCGAAGTAATATATTGATACGAGACTTTGAGTTATTGTCTTTAATATTATTAATTCTTCCAGAAGGAAAATAATATTGAAGATGTATGATTATTATTTCAAACTGTCCTGAAATTAAGATTGAAAGTAAGATTGCATACCGCTGGCTGACTTAATATATTCATTGCATTTATATCCTGCCTTTTCTTCAGTGAGTTCAAGATGGCTTACATGGTTTTCCCTTTTATTCTCATGGCAACTCTCTGAGGTAGGTCAGGTCGAGAGAGTGTATAATGGAAATTTGAATTAAAATCTTCTGAGTTCTAGTCCAGAACTCTAAAGACTGTACTACAGCAAATCCTGTGACATTATTTTGGTATGAACAGTTAACTGGGCATATACCCTCACTTTTTAATATATTTTAGGTATGTTTTACTGTGCCTCTCTCTTCTCTTTTCAGGTGCGTGCTACAATAAGTGACTTTGCTGTATTTTTGACAATAGTGATCATGGTTCTTATTGATTATCTTGTGGGAGTTCCTTCTCCTAAACTTCAAGTGCCACAAAAATTTGAAGTAAGTGTATTGTTTTTGTTGTTGTTTAAGAGCATTTTCTTGCCTTCCAGATGTCTTAGAACACAATTTCTATTTGCCTTAGTCTGCTTACTCAGTGGCCAGATACATCTGGAATTATAGCCCAAAACAATAGGAGGGCATAAGGACAGGGAAGATCGGTGTACTCCATCTCATAATGATGTATTTACTAATTGCCTCACAAATGGGATTTGTTTCCAATTTCACATACACAAGATTGGACTATTAAAATTAGACTCTGAAGGTGGCTTGTGTTCAGAGGCCATCTGATTGCTTTAGGTGTAAGTGTAAGCTCATACAAATAGTTAATCTCATATGTCTTATAGTGCCATGTATTATATTGCAAAAAAGGGCGAATTTATTTATTGATTGCATATCATATGAACTGTCCTGACCTTGGTTCTGTAACAGTGCGTTAGCCTGACAGTCATCCTAAACTATACTAAGTAATATTTATACATGGAATTTTAGGGAAGGGATTGGCATTTAGTGCCATTTGCGTGTATACAGTATTAACAAAGAAAATATTTGTCTAATAAATAAGACACACTTTTTTCCTTTTCATGAGTGTCCCTATTTTTCCCCCATTAGCCCACAAGAAGTGATCGGGGATGGCTCATAGATCCTTTAGGATCTAATCCTTGGTGGACACTTGTGATAGCTGCAGTTCCTGCTTTACTCTGTACTATTCTTATTTTTATGGACCAGCAAATTACTGCAGTTATCATAAACAGGAAGGAACATAAGCTCAAGGTGAAAAATGTTTTTTTTTTTTTTCAATTTCCTTATTGTGAAAGCAGTAGTCAACTTGCAGTATTAGCTTTCTGGATATGCTGTGGAATCTAAAATTCTGAACCTGGAAGTCAAAATCTTGTACTCAACAAAAATCTACAAACTGAAATAGAATTATTGATGTCAAATATATTTATTTATAAAGAAAATCACTTATTATAGGTAAAACTTTTTAAACAGTTTGGAAGTGGTATGTTTCAAATGACTGGACTGCGAAGTACAAAAATGAAATCAGAGAAATATTTGAATATTAGGAAGATAGTGGTAAGGCAGTGTCAGGGACGTGGTGGCGCTGCGGGCTAAACCGCAGAAGCCTCTGTGCTGCAGGGTCAGAAGACCAGCAGTCGTAAGGTCGAATCCACGCGATGGAGTGAGCTCCCGTTGCTTTGTCCCAGCTCCTCGCCAACCTAGCAGTTCGAAAGCATCTAATTGCGAGTAGATAAATAGGTACCATCTCAGTGGGAAGGTAAACAGCGTTCCAGATCTAAGTCGCACTGGCCATGTGACAATGGAAACTGTCTTCGGACAAGCGCTGGCTCTACAGCTTGGAAAGGGGGATGAGCACTGCCCCCTAGAGTTGAACCTTTACCTTTAGTAAGGCAGTAGTGAAAGGATAGATGTAGACAAGTGCTACTCTGCTTGTAATATTTTCAGTAAAATCTATCCACATAGTATTGTGAGCCATTTCTCTGTTTCAGTTATCGTAAGCTTAACAATAAGACCTTCGGGTAGTGTGGGCGGCATATAAGTTAAATAAATAAACAAACAAACAAAC